CTTTGAAACTAACCTTAGTTATTAAATTTGAATATTCACACTCATATTTATAACTCCAACAATAAACATTTAATGAGGTGTCAATACTAATTTAGAACAAACTACATGCTATAATAGGTATAAACTAAGCATCCTAAAATTATGGAGCTGTTAGGTTTTCATATTTCTATTGTTCATTTGACTAATATATAAGTGGATTGTCAATATTGTTTTGTAGTAATTGTGTGAATTGGAATATAAATATATGTATATATGAGCCAACTTAGCCTAGTGGTAGAGAGCTTTACCTTTCAATCAATTGTTCATGCGTTCAAAGCCTTTTATATATAATGGGGTATCTGCATTTGCGTGTGTATTTAGAATAATAAATTTATTGAAGAGATATTTTATTCTTGTTGAATTCATAGGTGAAGATAGTAGTGTAGTTTCATATTTAGAGATGCCTTAATTAAATTTTACGTATAATATTAGGATGTAATTAATATATCACTTTAGTGTTGCTAATTTGTTAGTAGCAATAAATATATAATAATTTTATAAATTTAATATATTTAATTGGGACTAATTAAAGAACTATCTAAAATTTTAATGATTAAAATGTGCTTCCAATAATCTCCTAATGAAAATACTCAAATTAATGATTAAAATGTGCATTCAATAATGTCCTAGAGAAAAGACTCTCCTAAGCTTCATTCAAAAGATGAATGGTGGATGCTCTAATACTCACCGGCAGTCCCACGTGGGAGAAAGAGAAAAGGTGTGAGATCATGAAGGGTATAAAAGGTTGTAGGCAAGCAAAGGTGTTAGGTGAGCATGGTTGGCATATAAAGGAGCCAATGAACTTTTGCCACGCGTTCTTCATGTTTTGTTCATAATCTCAATAATTGAGTAATGATTTTGGGCCTAGCGGAGTCAAAATGTAAGTAGAAAGAGAGAGAGAAACAGGGCTAGAGAGAGAGAAGGATTATGTGGTGTTAAGGAAAGGAATAAGAGATGAATTTAAAGGGTGGAACTTTGGAGTTGAGGTTGGGATGAATGATTCCCGGAGCTCACACGAGCCACGCATGAGACGTCGGCACGTGACAACAATTAGATGCCCAAAAAAAAAATTGTATTTTTTTTTTAATTTACAACTATACCACATAATTCTTTTTTATCCAATACTGACAATTTGATGTCAGAAGCCTATGCATGAAAATGGGTCTTAGAAGCGAAAAAAATATTACATCAGTACTACGCACGTAGAAGTAACGTGCGTAGTCAATGAAATTACGCCACGACATCCCGAAAAAAAAATAGCGCAGTAACACGGTGAATATTCTCTCTGTACGAAAAAAAAATAGCGCAGTAACACGGTGAATATTCCCTCTGTATTATTCATGTGTTGTTGTGTGTTATTCATGTGTTATTGTGTGTTATTCATGTATTATTGATGTGTTATTGTGTTATTATAAGACCAGAAATATTCTCAGGACACAATAACATATGAATAACACACAATAACACCTAAATAACATAGAACACAAAATACCACCAAAAAATCATGGGTAATATTCCCGACAGAGAAAAAAACGAAACAGTAACACAAGAGAATATTCTCCCCCGTGTTATTCATGTGTTATTGTGTGTTATTCATGTGTTATTCATGTGTTATTGATGTGTTATTATAGCAACAGAATATTCTCATGACACAATAACACATGAATAACACAGAATAACACATGAATAACACGAGAGAGAATATTTCTCGTGTTACTGTGCCATTTTTTTTCATATTACGTGAAGTGTCGTGACGTGATTTTATTGACTACGCACGTTTACGTAGTACTCATCTAATATTTTTTTTTTGCTTAGAAGCATGCATGTGCTTGCCTCATCGCCTCTTGTTAACTACAGTTATCAGAGAGAATTATTGGTTTTGTTCATAATTATGGCTTAGGCATCCAAAGAATAAGGTCTCAATCAGTTTAATTACTTTGGGTCTTTGCGGTGGAAAAATTATTCCATAAGGATTGGCTACCGCACGCAGCTTGCGTGCGGTGCCAGATCCGGACCGTAGATCACCTGATCTACGGTCCCGATGTATTTCGGTGGGCTCCACCGAGATTTTTTTTTTTAATAAAAAAAAAACAGAAATAATCCTGGCCGTAGATCACCGTGATCTACGGCCAGGATCGGACACCGCATGCAGAGATGCATGCGGTGTCCGCACGCAATAATCTCTCCTTTGCGTGTCCTTGTGATATGAAATGAAAAGACAATGCATGATTATTTCTTTCTCTCTCTACCATCTGATTTATCTTATTTACGTAATCGCTCGTAGCACTGCCCGCAATTTAAGTTATAAGCATTTTTACAGTATGTGATTTAAGATTATATTTTAACATATTTTCAAATATACTTTATAAAATAAGCCAACAAATTTGCGATAAAACTAAAAATTAAAAAAAAAAAAAGAAATATAGTGTAAATCATGACAATTATGAGAAGGGAAGAGATGATGAGATAAAAACAATAGAGTTGGAAATGGGATCCAACACATGCAGCTTATAAGTGCCCGTTTGGGGCAGCTTATAAGTGTGGGCGGCGTTTTCAAAAAGCCGACGTACCGTTTGTTTTGCGTGTTTCGTCAGTTTATCGGAAACTGCGTTTGGGTTTTTACACCAAACGCAGGCCGCGAATCGACCCCTGTGGCCGGCCCGCGGGCCGCGGTTTAGGGTAAGCAGCTAGCTTATCCTGAAACGCACAAGCTGCCCCAAACATACCCTCAGTCACCGTTCATTTTTATATTATTGATAGAAAAAACACGTTTGATAGTGACCGCAATTAAAGTGTGCTCGTGAATTCAGAACCAATGATGTCAATTATCAAAATATTAAAAGAAGAAATTCACAAGAAAAAAAAAATGTCATATAAATCGATCAAACCAAATCCACCAATACTATTGAAAGCTGCCCTGATTAATAGAGAGATACGTAATTTGTTCTTCTTCTATGTCATGTAAATTATGTCGTTTAGCTAGAACTAATAAGTTTAACTTTCAATGTATTTAATTCTCAGTAATACAAGCTTTTGTAACCGGTGAAACGTATGGGGCCAGTCATCCACCATGTCATCATCTATGGCTGCAAGCATCTCATTCTGTTCATAAATGACCACATTGATTCTGCTGGCCACTTAATTCTTATTACACAACAAACCTCAAAAAAATTCTGAATTCTTACATTCAAAATGAACCCCTCAAGATTCTTTCCACGGGCTGTGGCGGTGAGTACATAAATGCTCGCATGTAAGCTGCCTCATCCAAATGGGGTACTATAAATCAGCATGCCCGAGTGTGCTCGTGAATTCAGAACCAATGATGTCAATTTGATATAGGTAAGTTAGCCGTGAGTAAAAGTTCATATGTACCAAAATAAAATGATGATATTGAACACAAACGCCAACGCTTTATGGAAATTATACGAAATGTTTTACTCACGGCTAACTTACCTATATCATATTTGGGTTGACGCCCTCTCAGCACGTATCTCATAAATCACTTGACCTAGATAGACATTTGCAAACTCTCTGCCATACAAATTACTATTGAGGTGTGGAGCCAGGAAGAGCACTCACAGTCACAAGGAAGGAGACCAAGAAGCAGGAAGTTTTCTAATGCGGCACATGCGTGCCTGGACGGTGTGCATATGCTTGCAGACAAAGGGAGCGTCGCCCATGCCGCACCCACATCCGGGTTTGTAGCTATCAGACGCCCCTGATCCCGGTTATAGAGGGCATGACATTCCCACATCAAAGTGTCATGCCAAATACAATTACTCTCCCATTTCAATTTAAATCCTCCATTCTAGCGATGGAGCGGTGGGCTTTATTGCGTGTGATTCTTTCGATAAGGGTTCTCTTGAAAGAGAGAAGCGTCTGAGAGGAGGATTTCATCGTAGTTTTCTCTTGTCAGATCGAGAAAAAGACATGAGATATGAGTGGGTATTTTGTATATTTATGACTTGTCATAGTGAAAATTTTCTTGGTGGTGTGACAACATGATTTTTTTTTTCCGTTCTCGGTCTTTTTTTCATGTTAAATTTTTGTGTCTTCTTTCTGGATTTATTTTATTGTCCTAATTTTTTAAAATTACTGTAATCCTATTTCATGATATAATTTTGATTTTAATTGATCGAAGCCCTAATTGAAACATATAAGATTTCCATCCCAACAATTACTATATCATGGGCCTTCCCAATACTCCCACCTCCATATATGTGGCTGCCAACGCTACCCAATGGCTTCTTTCTTGTTCCACCAACAAATCTTTCCCATGTTCTTAAGCTGTATATAACCTCCTTTACTCGCACACATTCCTTCCTCAAGCACCAACACATCCTGCCCAAAATCCCTTCAGCATTCCCTTACAGCCTCACTAGCCACCAGCTCTACTCAAAAAGAGCACAGACCCCACCATCCTCTACTACCCCCTGCCATAACCATTCACAGGCACTATTACTGCAATTGTTAAACCCATCAGACACCGAATGCTTAATCTCATAATGTCTCTCATGCCCAAAACAATCTTCCAGCACATACCATGTAACTGGCTGGCCCAACCTAATTCTTATCTGTAAGTTAAAAATGGCAACAAGTTCACTAACTTTTCATCGTCTTTTGGATCCTTGATTGTTCTTTTAAAAATTTAAAAGTGCTATCAATTAAATTTCACTCATTAGATTGAAACTATCACTAATCTTTGGCAGGTTCCATTGTTAATTATGATATAGATTCATAATAGGGCGTAGTGAAAGAGTTAATTTTTAAGGGGATATGACGAATGTCACATTTAAAGACCCCATTCTACAAAGAAATTTTGGCACAAACAGCAAAGTTGAAGTAATTTGAGCCACCCTTTATCTGAATGAATCAAAATTAACAAGAAAGTGTCAATTTGTCAGTATCTAGATCATAACAGAGCTCAAAAGATAGCAAGGAAACTACAATTTGTACCAGCAAAAAGCACTATTAAAGTTTTAGTACTAGTTTAAACAAATAAAATTTTCAGCCACAAACAGCCATAAAAAGGAATACAAAGAATTAAAGAAAATTATTATGGAAACACAAAAAGGACAGGTAGTAAACCTCTATGAAATCCAAAACCATGGCAGTATTAAAACCTGCTTCTCGGACTATAATCTCCCCGTGCATCATCAGAAAAGATATTTAAACATTCACGAATCGTTCAGTTGAAAAAACAACATTTTTGTGCAATTAAGCAATAAAACTAGACAAAAGGAGGAGCCAAGCCGCAGCAAATCTTCCATCAACTCCCATTTAATACTGGAAGATTAGAAGCATTTCCTGTGCACAATTGATGGGCCAGACTCATCATACTCTGCCTTAGAAATCCACATCTGCAGTCACAGATAGCATATGAGCAATTTTCATTTCAACCATCAGTTGCAATCAGTGCAATTTAGAATAAAGTTTAAAATAAAAATATACACTTTATTATAGTGCCCCACCCAAAAAAGCTAACTTAATTGACTTTTTATAAATTTTTTATCACCATGACCTTAATCTCTGTGGATGACCTTAATCTCTGTGGATGGTTTCGCACTATTCAAAGAAGATCGACAAATTAAAAACCTAGCTCTATTTCCCTGCAACTGATCTCATCAATCTTAAAGAGAACATAGATACCAATATGTTTAAATGTACTTATATAATTAAAATTGTTCTACGATGTGCTAGAAACGGTGGAGCCCGGTCCACTATGCTTAGGCGGTTACTTTGCTTTGGAGAGTCACACTTCTTCACTAATAACTACTCCCGTTTTTCTCTTTTGTGAAGTGAAGCATCTCTTCGCTCCCTCCTATTCGTGATAAAAGCTCTGGATAACTCTCCTTGGGTTTTGTTTTGTAGTCACGCTTTGATAGTCACGCTTTGAGTTCTTCTTTGGTTTTCTCGGGATAGAGGAAGGTTTCCACGAGGCAGAGGAAGAGAAGTGCAAGGAGAATCAATTCCTTGCGGCATAAGGAAGAAGAAAGAAGAAGAAGAAGATTGTTCTCCCTAGGCTTCTTCTTGGTGGCTTGTGGCTGAAGAGAAATTGAGTTTATTTCTCTTGTAAGTTTGTCTTCTTCGGTATATCTCGGTGTAGAGTTTCTTTGGTGCATCTTGGTGTAGAGAGAGAAGAACAGAGAGAGAGCAATGAAGTGAGAGATTCCTCTTGTAAGTCGAGGTGTTTGACTGGTGTAAATTCCTCAAGTCGTAAAATCCTCTGCAACTCCGTGGACGTAGGCAATTTGTCGAACCACGTAAATTTGTGTGTTCCGTTGCGGTGTTACTGTTTTATGGTGCGAATTTTTCTCGTTCTATTTTTTCGCTTCGTCGATATTTCTCCTGTTTGATTTATATATATACCACATCAACTGGTGTATATTTAGATCACGCAACAACAACTGGTATCAGAGCGTGGTTTCGGATCTGAAGAAGAATGATTTATATATATACCACATCAACTGGTGTATATTTAGATCACTTTGATGACACAGATTTTGGTTATTGAAGAATGCAGATAAATAATTAACTTTATGGGAAAAAACTTCATCTTCCGTTATTGGGGAAAAGACCTGAAATGATGGATAAGGCTGAATGAAATTTGTTTGATCGACAAGTTCTAGGGGTTATTCGATCGACTCTATCGAGGTTTGTTGCACACATCGTCGTCAAGGAAAGAATGACTACAGATCTCATGTCAGACTTATCAGGTATGTATGAAAAGTCATCGGCAAATAACAAGAAGCACTTGATGAAGAAGTTATTAAATTTGAAGATAGCGGAAGGCGTTTCTGTTGCTCAACACCTGAATGTTTCAATACTATCACAAATCAATTGTCGTCTGTGAAAATTGATTTTGATGATGAGATGTATGTATTGATCTTGTTGGTTTCATTATCAGATAGTTAAGAAACATTGTCAGATAGTTGGGAAGCCATGAATATAGCACTTAGCAGTTCTACAGGTAAATCTAAACTGAAATACGATGATATTCATGATTTGATTTTGGCTTAGAAAGTTCGCAAGAAAAATTCTGGCGAGGTCTCAGGTTCGAGTTCAGCACTGAATGTTAATTTCAGAAGAAGATGACATGGCAGGAACTCAAGTATAAGGAGATCAAAATTAAAGTTTAGTAAGCAGACAACCTGTTGGAATTGTGGCAATGCTGACCACATAAAAAGAAACTGTAGGGATCCTAAGAAGATGGCGAATGATGACACAAATGTGGTATCTGAAGAATTGCACTATTGTTAGCAGTTCATAGTTCTGTTGAAGACTTGATGTTGGATTCAGGGGCTTTGAATGTGGTAGGAAATCTACCAGAGGTCACAGTGCAGGGCAGTGATGGAAGTAAAGAGGAAAGTGGGTCCGATGCACTCATTCCTATTATTCCACAGACAGATGTTAAAGAACCACATAGCTATGAAAAAATCTTACAAGATGAAAGTTCGAGCAAGTGAGAGCTAGCAGAACTTCCACCAGGGAAGAAGACATTACACAACAAGTGGGTGTACCAGTTAAAGACTGAGCGTGATGTCAATAAGAGGTACAAGAATAGACATGTTGAAAAAGACTTTCAGCAGAGGCAGGATGTTGCCCATGCAGTGAGAGTTGTAAGAAGAGACAAGAGTGACCCAAGAAATAGCTTGGAGGCGCAAAACTATGTGGAGTCTGCTGATATGTTAACTGATGGTGTTACTCTTGAGAAATTCAAGTTGTGCACAACTTCAATTGGTCTTCTGAAATGAAGATAGAGGCTTTGAGTTGCAAATGTGAAGGATTCAAGGTGGAGGATACATATTGAAGAAAAATGTGGCACTGCCATTGGAGGATATCAGTTTGAGGAAGGAGATGTTGCAGCCTGTGTACCGGTCACCAAGTGGGAAAATTGTTAGAAACAGTGGAACCCGGTCCACTATGCTTGGGCGGTTACTTTGCTTTGTAGATTCACACCTCTTCACAAATAACCACTCCCGCCTTCCTCTTTTGTGAACTGAAGCATCTATTCGCTCCCTTCTGTTCGTGAGAAAAGCTTTGGATGGCTCTCCTTTGATTTTGTAGTCACGCTTTGAGTTCTTATTCGGTTTCCTCGGGATAAAGGAAGGTCTCCTCGGGGCAGAGGAAGAGAAGTGCAAGGAGGAGCAGTCACTTGCGGCAGAAGGAAGAAGAAAGAAAAAGAAGAAGATTGTTCTCCCTAGGCTTCTTCTTGGTGGCTTGTGGCTGAAGAGAAATTTGGTTTATTTCTCTTGTAAGTTTGTCTTCTTCGGTGTATCTCGGTGTAGAGTTTCTTCAGTGTATTTCGGTGTATAGAGAGAAGAACAGAGAGAGAGAAGAACATAGAGAGCGACGAAGTGAGAGATTCCTCTTGATGTTCTTCTTCTGGATTTGTGTTGTTTCGTCTTAAATTTCCTCAAGTAGTAAAATCCTCTGCAACTCCGTAGATGTAGTCAATTTGCCGAACCACGTAAATCTGTGTGTTCCGTTTATTTTTTCGCTTCGTCGATCGTTCTCCTGGTTGATTTATATATATATCACATCAACTGGTATATATTTTAGATCACGCAATAACACGATGGACTGCAAGCAACCTCCAGTTAATTTGTTTGTTACACCAGTAAAGAAGCCACATCTTAAGGAAAATCAGCAATAAGAACATTGTGACAATGACGAGCAGTGAAAAAAATGAGAACATATAACATACCTGTTGGAAAGTGCTAAGAGATGCCAAGATGGAACCGCCAATCCAAACACTATACTTTCTTTCTGGTGGAGCCACCACCTTGATCTTCATGCTAGTTGGTGCCAGTGCTGTGATCTCCTTGCTCATCCTGTCAGCAATGCCAGGAAACATAGTAGATCCACCACTAAGTACAATGTTTCCATACAAATCCTTTCTGATATCCACGTCGCACTTCATGATCGAGTTGTATGTGGTCTCGTGAATGCCAGCTGATTCCATCCCGATCATCGACGGTTGGAAGAGGACCTCGGGGCAGCGGAATCGTTCAGCACCAATGGTGATAACCTGCCCATCAGGGAGCTCATAGTTCCTATCCACAGAGGAGCTGGTCTTAGAAGTCTCCAATTCCTGCTCGTAGTCAAGAGCAATGTAAGCTAGTTTCTCCTTGATATCTCTCACGATTTCACGCTCTGCTGTGGTTGTGAATGAATATCCACGCTCGGTGAGAATCTTCATGAGAGCATCGGTGAGGTCACGACCTGCCAAGTCTAAACGAAGAATTGCATGTGGAAGGGCATATCCCTCATAGATAGGAACAGTGTGGCTCACCCCATCACCCGAGTCCAGCACAATACCTAGAAACAAAGAAATTTAAAAAGACACTTTTCATTGCTAAATAATTCCTTCTGGTTTCGTGGTCTCAATGTCAATAATCATATATTTGCTTACCAGTTGTTCGACCGCTGGCATACAGGGAGAGAACAGCTTGGATGGCAACATACATTGCCGGAGTATTGAAAGTCTCAAACATGATTTGAGTCATCTTCTCACGATTGGCCTTGGGGTTCAACGGAGCCTCCGTGAGAAGGATTGGATGTTCTTCGGGTGCGATACGAAGTTCATTGTAGAACGTATGGTGCCAGATCTTCTCCATGTCATCCCAGTTGCTCACAATTCCATGCTCAATGGGGTACTTTAGAGTTAAAATACCACGTTTGGATTGAGCTTCGTCACCAACATATGCATCTTTCTGGCCCATTCCGACCATCACACCAGTGTGGCGAGGGCGGCCTACGATGCTTGGGAAAACAGCTCTTGGGGCATCATCTCCAGCAAATCCAGCCTACATCAGTAATTTCAATAGTTCATGGATTCAATGATTTGATATAGTTAATAGCTTTACCAATACAAGGTACTTTATGGCGCACTTCCAAAAAAACACAAAACTAGCATAAATGAATAAGAAGAAGAATACATACCTTAACCATCCCAGTTCCATTGTCACAAACCAGGGGTTGAATTTCCTCGGGTTCAGCCATCTTCTATATGAGGGAAAGTCGGATCCACAAATATTAGCAAATGGACAAAAAAAACACATAAAAGTGCTGTTGAATATTTACATTTGCATACATTTGTCAAACAAATTAGATTACAGTTTACCAGATGATGAACTGATATAGATTTCAATCAAAAGCTGCATTTTATATCCACAAACTTGCTGAAAACAAAATCACACATCATGATGTATTATGAGCAGATCAAAAGAATTCACTCCAAGATTCTTCAAAATTTTCCTTAATCATTTGCAGCTTGATAAAGAAACTATGATTCACTAATTGCGGTAGATATGGATATCCCAATATTAGGGAATCCAAGCTTCAAACAAGTTGTGAAACTAAATGCGTCTGCTAGCTTGAAGAACATAGTATGAAATCTAAAATAAATTAAAATTATCAACAAGATTAGCATGAAATCAAAATCTAAATGCAGCTTAGAATGATAGGTCATCCAATTCAGGTTTCAGGAATACAAAATCACCTGGGCAAATTACTGAGAATGGAAGCAAGATGATATAACGTATTGTCCCAGAAAATTCTGACAAAGATATAAACTACGAATGTAATTTAAAGATGTATTATATAATGACAATCAACACGCTAGATCAGTTTCCACAATTAAAATATCATCTAGCCTATAATATAAACAGGATATGAAAATGTCATGTTCTAGCAAAAAACACACCAAATAAGAAAATGCAAATAAATTGCAAAATTCATCTATGAATTATTAACATAGATGAAGATCTGAAAATTAAGAGGAAACTCAACCATTCAAAGTTCAAACGAAATGCAAGCTGACAATGTGTTTTCAGAAAATGACAAGGCTAATGAGGTTTTTCACAGTGAACTAGATGGGTTACAAAGAACCTATACTACAGAACCAAGAATCTAGGGATCGACAAACACCGATCAAGGGCCGCAAAACACAAATTTCATAATCTCGACTCAGTGCCCTGAGATCAAGAAATAATCCCCAACGAAAAATAATCCACAGGGATGAGATTCTGGTAATTACCTGATGCTTCTGCGCGGCAAGGAAAGAAGAAGAGGAGCAGACGGGGACGAAGAGCCGCGAGAAGATAACGAATCCGGGATTATCTCAGCCAGGATTTCTCTCCTTCTCTCTCTGCTCTCTGTCTCTTTATAGGGTTTTCTTGAGTGGTTTGCAAAAGTTGGATCGGCAAACGCTCGGATCTCCGCCCGCCAACGAAGCTACAGAATGCACGCTTCTCCCTCCCCCTCATAAGAAACTGATTCGCGTACAGATCGTGCCACGGAGAGTTCGGTGTGAATCTTTACATGTGATTACGGTGATCTATAAATTAACTATATGAGGAATTTGGTCAATTCTTTTCCAGCGAAAGTTTGCTTGATCATCTCCTTCTCTGTCCAAAATAAGGAAAACACCAGGATGTAGGTGCGTCTCTCTCTCTTGATTTTTACGTTCTACCATCTAAAACATATATATTTACATATCAAACGCCTAAAATCTAACATTTACACGTTAACCACCACCTAAAATTTAGCCCTTTCTCTATTTACACGTTAACCACCACCTAAAATTTAGCCCTTCTTCTCATGTTATCCTCCCTGCCAGAAACGAAGTTTGCCCTGGCTTCTCTTTGTTGTGTCCCCATCCATCATCCAGTTCCACGAGACAGAGAGACCTTGCCTTGGCTCCCGGCACTCCGGATAAGACGGGGCCCGAGTTGCCGGAGTTGTATCTGAAGCAAAACAAGCTTTTTGGATTAACATCTTCGGCATTGCGCTGCAGGTGAAGAAGAAAGGTTTTGATGTGTTGGTGTTCGGAAAGGACATATTGCATGTGTTCATTGTGTCTAGTAGGCCTTAGGTTTCTCTTCCCACACATTCGACGAACAGAAAATATGGAATACTGATATCAGTACTTCAATGAGGATGTATCACGTATGCAATGTATCTATCATAATATCATGTGACACCTCCTCATTAGAGTACTGATGTAATATTTTTTCTGGCGAACAATAACAAGTACTGGCCTTCACTTTTTAACGGGATTAAGGTAGATAAGGGAGTGTGGTAAATTTTTGTGCCATCTAAATTTTGGGTGGTTAGCCTGTAAATTTTTTTTAGGTGTTTGATATGTAAATATCTATGTTTTAGATTATAGGTATTGGAAAACTCCCTTTTTTTTATTTTTAGAAAATGAGCTCACACCCAACTTTAATTAAAGAAAAAATGAAAGTACAAACATAAACATACATATAACTCAACATCACACAAACCAAAAAAAGCTCGATGCAATGTTGTATTTGTTTGCAACCACAAGATCTTAAGGTTAAGGCTTAACATATTGAGATGTTAAAATTATATATATAAAAAATGCTCAACCCAATGTTATTTCTGTTAAACGAAAAATTGCATTTACATTTGCTTAACATTCAACAGCTATAGTTGTTATAGTACTTGATGTGTGATCAATAAAATTTTATCAAGCATGAAGCTTGATGCAGTTTTATAAGGAATCTTCCACTTTAGAATTCAAGGTTATCCAAGCCATGATTTCAACAACTTTATATTCAAACTGATTATCCTGATATGATGAACCCAACAACTGAAATTGGTTCAATTTATGTTCCATTAAGCCCATATCAAACTTTTAAAGCACATTTAGAGGTTTTGGATTTTCAATTGAATGGTGAAATTTTGACCTATTTATCGTCAAATAAAGTATCTCAATAAGAGGAATCCAACAAGCCTAAGATTGTTCAATTCTGAGGTCATTAATGCATTCAAATAATTAAAAAACCATTTATGGTCAAGTGGGATCAACGAGGGCCGTCTGATCGGGTGGTTAGGGAAGCTATGCTCCGAAAGAACAAAATGCCCCTCATTAAAAGAACATAAATAGATCATCGCTCTTCACTTGAGGGACGGAGGATGAAAAGATAAGAAGAAAAATTTTAGGTCATGTTTTAGAGAGAAGACACGGCGATAACTACCAACCTTCATAGTTGCCAACCACCGACAGTTGTTGATTATTGTTTGTAATTGTTGTACTCCAAATATGATTGTTGAGAATAACAAATGTATTGAAGATCCAATGACAACCACCAACCTCTGTAATCATTGAACACTGTCGATAATCTTCCATCGATCACTGTCAACCACCGCTGACCCTTACCACTGGTGATTTCTTTTTACACTACCACCATAGAATTTGAAAGACTTCTATATGAATGATCATATACGAAATTCAAAGAATAATGTATTACCCCGAAGGATATAAATATTACCTCAGAATGGGCCTAATCATCCGAATGAGGAAATCTTTGGGATTTATGAGCCTGTGGAGCCATGACAATTGTAAGATAAAATTTAATTCTGGGGACCTTGTTTCCTCTAAGAGCAAGCCCTTATATTTATTTACATCTTTAGGGTCACAGACTCTAAAGAAATCTCTTGCTTAATAATATAAAAAAAATTGTTCAAGAATAAGCTTCAGAAGGGAGGCTTTAACATGAATGGGAATGACAACATATCATAGAGAATGCCCTCGATGGGGAACCATGCCTGATATGAAGTGATTTTAGAAAGCTTAAAATGATGAATTATGAATTAAAAGTGATCAGGTTAGGTCAATAGGTTAATAAAAAACACTTGATTTGACTGATTATAATAATTAGGAACCCTAAAGTAAGAATAGAGTTGGGTAAAAAAAATTTCTAGATGAAAAATGAAACCTTAGACTCTATAAGAAATTCTAATAGGTGGACTAACTTAGACACAAGGAAGGATTTACCCGGTCAAGATGCTCGGGGCTTTTAATCGTCCTAGGAAAATTGATATCTGTCAACTATAAATAACCTCATAACCGAGAAGCCCTCTTAAATGTCATAGCTCAAGGGATTCGCTGCCTGAATGAGGTTTGAAATACCTTCATCGGTAACCATGGGTTACATTCTTTTAGGGTATTCCCTCTAGCTTCATGGAGTAGGTTTATTTGTTTTATAGATCTCAAACCTTAGAGCTAATAGTTTATCTACTTAGACGAACCTTCAGTAGGTGTATGGCTCTGAAGTTGGTGTCTAAGTTAGCCGACTTAGAGTTCATGTCGGATCTCTCCCTAGGGTTTGTTCTCATTCTTTACCTGGGTATGTTTTAGATGTTTATTTGAGATTCAATCTTTTATTCATGTTTTGGTTTCATTCCCTAGGTTTCTCTGTCATGATGGAGAAATTTAGATGTTCCTAAGTTTTGATTAAAATTTTTATGTTTGCGGAGAAAAATAACTTTACAATCGAATTTCCTCCTCCCTTTTTATTTTATATATTTTTATTATTTTTATTTTGAAGCATACCCATGAAACAACATAAAGAGAACATGTTAATAGCCTTGGATGAAACTCAAGTTTAAGGTTGAGCAAGGGTCAACCATTTTAGTTTGGGTGATTTGAGTTTTTTCAAGTCATTAAGATGATTTTAGGGTATTTTGGTTATTTGAATAGTTATAGTTTACTTCAGGTTATCTATTTTATTGTGTGGTGTTTCAGGCCATTTGGGTAGTTTTGAGGTGTTTCAGGTCATTAGGGTGGTTTCAGGGTGTTTCAGGTCATTTGGGTTAGGTTGGATTAGACCTGAGCTTGGTTGGGTCTCGGTTGGGTCAGGTCTGGTTTGGGTCAAACCTATGGTAAGATTTAAGGTTAGGGTTAGGTTGGGCTAGATCTAAGCTGGGTCGGCTCTAGGTTAGATTAGGTCTGGGTTGGGTCAGACCTGTGTTAGGTTTTAGGGTTTGGGTTAGGTTAGGCTAGACCTGAGCTAGGTCTGGTATAGGTTAAGTCAAGTCTGGGTTGGGTTAGACTTGTGTTAAGTTTTAGGGTTTAGTTTCAGTTGGCTAGACATGAGCTGCCTTAGGTTTATGTTAATTCAAGTTTGGGTTGGGTCAGACATGGGTTAAGTTTTAGGGATTGGACTAGGTTGGGCTAGACCTGAGCTGGGTAGAGGTTATGTTAAGTTAGGTTTAGGTTGGGTCAGACCTGGGTTAAATTTTAGGGTTTGGGTTAGGTTGGACTAGACTTAAGCTAGGTCGGGTTTAGTTAGTTCTTGGTTGGATCAGACTTGGGTTAAGTTTTAGGGTTTGGAGTAGGTTGGGCCAGACATGAGCTAGGTCTGGTCTAATAGGTTGGACTAGACTTAAGCTAGGTCGGGTTTAGTCAGTTCTTGGTTGGATCAGACTTGGGTTAAGTTTTTTGGGTTTGGGGTAGGTTGGGCCAGACATGAGCTAGGTCTGGTCTAGGTTTCCTCAGTTCTAGGTAGGGTGAGACTTGGGTTATGTTTTAAGGTATGAGTTAAACCATTTTAGGTATTTGGATTAGGTCCGGTTCGGGTTGACCTGAGTCAAACCAAAACCTAAGCCTAATTCAATGTTATTGAGTTAACATAAAGTAGATTTTAAAATGCTAAAATTAAACAATTAACTTAAAAGAAAATGGAGGAAATACTTACGAAGAGACAGTTGATCGGAGACCAGAGAACTCAGGTTGAAGAGAGCAATCTGAGAAGAAGAAGAAGTGTTCTTTGGATTCAAGGCACTTTCAACTTGATTGCTTATCCAATGGATTCCTTCACTTGATTACTTCCTTCCACAGGGATGAACAGATTCCTTTTATAAGGCGACAACGACTGTTTTAGGTTGTCAATCAGACGGGAGATTGAATGTCTGGATTACTTCGATGGTTTTTGCTGTCGTTGATGGTTGTCAGATGTTTTCAGTCATCCGATCAAATGGACTATCAGGATGAGGATCCATGGACAAAGGTCACGAATCAGTGGCCACATCTGGACGCAGTCACGCCCCAGGCGTGGTCAAGCCATAAGGGGGTGCAATGTGCTTTTCTGAGGGTTGAGAGGCACTAGGACCTTTCCTGAAGCTCCATAGGGGTTTGAAAGCTGAATATGACCCAAAAATGAGGTTAACAATCACCTGTCACTGTCGGTCATTAACATTTATCACTGGTGACCACCAACTTTCGGCAACCTTTGTTTACAACAATTGTATTCCAAATATGGTCCTTGGGTCTAACATTTGTATTGAAGACCCAATGAATAACTACCAGCCACCGATCACCACCGATGACCATCACCTGTTAGCCACCGACAACCACCATTAGCCATCAATGCCTGGAAACCTCTGCTTGCGACTATTGTGTTCAACTATGACCTTTAGAGCTAAGTACTACCTTTGTAGCAACCAATACAGTATTTGTGGCCATCTACTACTATTACGGTTTCTAAGTACGATATCTATGGCCATTTTCCACCATTGTAGCCACCAATTACAACCTATATGATCAACTATTTCTTGTAACATTCAACTATGATCTTTATGACCAAATATTATTGTTATAGTTTCAAAATACAGTCCCTATGGCCAATTGCCATTATTACAGTCATCAATTACAAAATTTGTGACCAACTATTGCCTTTGTAGCAACCAACTAATGTATTGGTGGCCAATTATTACTCTTATAATATCTAACTACTACTCTGTGACCAACTATCGCTATTGCAACCACCGACTATAGCTTTTATAACCAACTTTTGTCTTTGTATTACTCAATTATAACATTTGTGGCAAACTAATACTATTACAGTTTTGAACTATGACCTCAATGAATGATTATCGCTATTACAATCACCGCCTAAAACCTTTATGGCCAACAACTGTATTTGTAGTAATCAATTAAGGCATATGTAACCAACTACTACTATTACAGTTTCAAATTACAACTTTTGCGGCTAATTGCTGCTACTACAGCCACCAACTACACTCTTTATGGCCAATTTAACCTTTTGTAGCAACTAGTTGCGATTTTTGTGGCTAACTATTGTTATTACGGTCAATGACTCCATTTGTTGTTGTCCAACTATGACTATTATATTATTTTACATTGTGACTATTAGTTTTGTAATTTCATCTTCTCTAATTCAAGAGATTAGTGGACTTATTGATTTATAATTATATATAAGATTGCATTCAATAGACTAGACTCCGTGATTCTTTCCCTTTCTAGAGTTTTCTCACGTAAAAATATTTAGTTCTCCTCATATCACTTTTATTTTATTTGTATGCGTCATCGATCTTCGTGTAAAGCTAAAACGTTAAATAATCACTTTACCGCCGCAAATTTTCTATCACTCAAGAGTACTTGTAGCTATTTTTCTTCAATAGCATCAATAATTATTTAAAAAAAAAAATTGATGTTATGTTTATCTTCAATTATTAGGCAACTTAGGGCCCGTTTGGGGCAGTTTATTTGGTGCAGTGACATTTTGAAAATGCACCTGACCTGTTTTGGTAAACTGTGTTTTGGCAGCTTATTCGTTTTCAAAACGCTGAAAACAGCATTTTCACACCGCACATTTCTAGGTATGGTGGCAGTTTTTTGGCTGCGGTCTGAATTTTCCAAAAAAAATAAAAATTTGTAATCTCCACCGCACCTAGCTTATCAACAAATTATTTTTAATCAGCTTATCAACAAATTATTCAATAAGTTACACTTGCCCCAAACAGACCCTTAATTTAGACATAAATAAACCGCAGATTGCCTTATAATCACAGTATTACTCTCTTCCAACCTATAATATTTTTTCAAAAATATAATTCTTCATAAGTTATTTTTTCCATTTGATATCACATTAAACATGTCTCCAACTAATCTCGATTGGGATCAAAACCCTGAATACACATCAGACCAGCAGCAAAATCAAATTTCATATAATTAAGATTTCTTTTTTTCAAGATGAGTATCAAGATACGAAATTAATATAAATGTTATCAGAACCAATAATTGTGATAATAAAAACTAAAATTATATGGTCAATAACATTATTTATCGAAAATTATGAATTCCAACCACATACTTTATAATTAGAATACTTACATACATATCACAAAATTTTTAAATATTCATATATCTAATTTTTATTTATATAATTTTTATTATTTTAATTATAACTAATATTAAATTTTTTAAAATAAATTCAATATTTTCATGCACATATTATGAGTTGATTGAAACACTAAAAAATCATATAATTAAATATAAAAATTTTGAATTTAGATATTTAATTATATAAAATTTATCTGCTGATCATTTAAGAAAGAAAAAAAAAATATCAGCTATTTTACAATTACCACTCAATATAAATTACAAACACAAAGCAATATATCCCAACTAAAGTTAGCATCAATCTCCAGACTTGCTATCCACAAACAATTTTAGGCGCAACAGCAATGCAAAGAACAAACCAGAGCTTGAAAACCTCCAAAGCAAATCAATCCATAAGCTCTGCACTAGAATGGCTTCAGCTTCTTTCAGAGCCTTAGAGTAAGATCAGGTTCATCAACCTCCCCTGCATCCTTTGCTCTATAATTCAACTCAGAACCACTAACCAGCTCAAAGCCAGTAACCACTTTCTGTCTGAAACTCCCAGGCCAATGCACGCCCACCTCCTCTTCCTCCATGAACGAAGAAACTCCCCCAAACAAACCTTGCTGAAACCTGGTACTCCTCCTTACCTCCTCCCTTCCCCAGAAACCATGATGCAACGAGCCATGGCACTGTAAACCAACGGAACCCAGAGCAGTATGAGGGAACTGTTTAGCTGCATTTGCGCGCTTTGCAATGGTTCTCTCCCTCTTATGGGCGTTTTGGTGGCCACCGAGAGCTTGGGAGCTGAAGAACTTGCGAAGGCAGTAGTTGCAGGTGAAGACTTTTGGTTGATGGGCATCGCTGCTGCTTTCAACTGTGCTGGAGGGGGAAAGTAGGGAGGAGGAGGAGCCATTGTTGATGGAGAGGGAGAGGGAGAGGGGGAGCCGCATGGAAAGGGGAGTGTGGGCTGTGTTTGAGGGGGAGTAGTCTTGAAATGAGATGCTGGAAGCTATTTGGCTTGCGACATTAGAGTTGTTTTCAGATGATTGATTTGTTTTGGGTGAATTCATGGTTAATTCGGTTTGGATTCTGGTGGAAGAAGATGGACAGGGGCTGGATGGTTCCATGTATCTTCGCTATTAACTGGATTGAGATGAAGAACTAATTAGAAAACATGAGAGAACAGAACTGGCGCTATGTAAATCACCATTTATTTCATATTAATACTTGAAATTTTCTAAATGTGATGTTTTACCAAATGAAAGGTACTTAAGAATATAAATTAAGGAAAAAAGCACATTATGAACTTACCTGAACAAGTTAATTTCAGATATTTTTCATTTTCACTTGCTTGGTTAACATAAAAAGGGAGACGGTAACAATAAATCCTTATTTACTTTCTGATATGTTACCAGAAAATTCACTTGATGATTCATAAATCTTGTGCATATTAGATAAGAGAACTTTTGGAGTAAAAGTTAAGATCATTCGAGTTTTGATTTTAGCAACTTTATATCCAGCCTAAACATCTTAACAATAGAAACTTAATGACAATAAAAAAGATTTGTTTCAAGCCCAAATGACCTTGGATGATGCACTTGAATTGTAATTGAAAGTTTTGAAAAATTAATTGGAATGTCGAAAGTTCTTCAAATTTGGCATGCTTATAGTCAACATGAGCATCTCAACAAGAGGAGCTAATTAGCTCAATATGGTTCAAATTTGAGATCAATAAGACATTTAAATGTTAGAAGATTGATCTATGCTCAGGGAAATGGACACAGACAGTCTGACAAAGTGTTTTGGGATTTTTGTTTAATTTATCAAATTGAAAGCCTCTTCCAAAACTCTATAAATAAAACCTCATATTCAATATAAAGAAAGAAAAAGAAGGCTAAGTTCCAAGTTCATACTCTTGAAGAAAGCTTAAGGTCAGCAACCAACGACAATTATCACCGACCAACACTAGTGGCTCTAAACTAGTCGATTTTGTCGGCAAACGAGTATCTTCAGCTATTGTTGTTTGATATTTATAAATAAGTTAAACATTTTAATCTCATCTTCTCTACTTAAAAGAAGAGTTGATCTTTGTTAATTCAAATATATAATAAATAATTTTTTTATTAGGCCAAAAAATGTGAATAGTTCTCTTTCTAAATTTTCTGCATAAAATCTTTATGCTCCTGTTTCAACACTTCTTTTATCTATCTATGTGACAGATCTTTATGCAATGAAAAACATCAATCTATTTCTCTATAGTTTGAATGAAATTAAGTGTTTGATATGTTGCAACCTACATGCGTCTTAACTCGCTTCTAATAGGGTCAAACAAAATTCATGTTAGGAACTCTTATGAAGCACCATAAAAAGTAAGCTCTTACAACATGATATTTAATGTAATTAAAAAATATTTTTATGAAGTAGAGTGATAGTTGATGTAAATAAATATCTGTCAGGGAGAGTATAGAGAGGGAGAGGATGGTTGAGATGTAGATAAAAGTAGAAAAATTAACAGAAAAATGTTTACACCTAAGACTAGTAATGATCATGAGAATAAGCTAAATAATCTATAGATAGCACTAAGGAAAAACTCAAGAGAGCTTACATGATTTGATAAGAACATCTTAACTCCATAGTTGCACAAAGAAGTGTATATGCACTAATCCATAGACAAAAATAAGATAGAAATATTTAAATTTGCAACGTTCGAGAAAGCAAAATAGCACCTCAGAGTAATGGAGACCTTAACAGTCTTGATTACTGTTGCTGCATCCGGAGCTATGAAGCCTCATCCACACCTTTCAATAATACAAATATACAATTTGGTAAAATATCTCCTTTTTAACCTGATGTGTAAACAACCCATTGTGGTCTATCACTTAAAATATCTCCTTTTTAACCTGATGTGTAAACAACCCATTGTCGTCTATCACTTAAAATACAATTAGCTTAGTGTGGTCTATCATCGAAATGATGGTTCATCTAAACAAGGAACAAGTCTTCCATCTTGTAAAAGCTATCATCATAAATAATTTGCATTGAGTACTTTACAAAGAAACTAAGCTTTATAAATCAGAAAATGAAAAATTTATATTCTTCTATTACTAAAAATTTCACATAATTTGATGTCCCTCAGATTTATAGTTATTGCCGGGAAATTACTCCATGGCAGGCCGAAGAAACTAACAATTGAAGCATCCAACAGATCAGAATATACTCTTGGAAAAAGTATCTAATATCTCTACTGCAGTTAAAGAAATTTAAGAAAATCAGATATTTTTGCATCATAATTTATCAGAATAATGGTGGGATGAACAAGTTTTAATTGAAAGAGACGAATAACAAATCCTCATTTGCAAATTAACTGAATGCCCGTAATTGAAAGAGACGAATAACAAATCCTCATTTGCAGATTGAGTAACTGAATGCCCCGCGTAGGCCAATGAGGGATGCACATAACTAAATACAGAGAAGCACAGTACAGAGAAGACAGAACATGTCAGGCAAAGTTTATAAATTGTAAGAAGTAAGTTGATATAATAAAGTTTAAGCATCATGATAATTACAAATCAACAAATAAATATGACAGCTTTATAAAGGGTAAGGGAATAAGAGTTCCTAAGCTATATTAAGCATTAATTTCACAGAAAAAATATTTCTTTGCCAACCCATAATTCTACAATGAAAAAAAAAACATCAAAACTGTGTACAACAATGGACCAAAAACATAAAACCAAATATAAAAAAGCAATAAATTTCAGTATTTCCAGAGAACTCTTCTAAGATTTCCTGCAAACAATTAGAAAATTGAAGGAAAACATTCTATGATATGAAGTTCTTACCACACAAAGACCTGCAGGCAATATGGACTAATTGAGCTTTTCTCCTTCAGCACAAATTAACACACAGAAAGGAAGAGAGAGAGAGAGAGAGAGAGAGCCAGATAGAGAGAGCGAGAAATATGCAAGGGGCTATGTAAGTGAAGGTAGTGATGTATAATTATGGAAAGCAAAGGTTGAGTGGTGAAAGGGAACGACAAGGAAGCTTCTTTAATTTTTTGGTAAGATTCTTGAAGATAATAAAGAAGCATTATACAACGTAAAATACTATATCTAATATCAACACTCACATGAATGAAAGAGGAGGTCCATAATGTCCAAAAAAAAGGAGAAAGATATGTCCTCTTTTATAGATATGTTATAACTTTCTCATAGAGCAGTTCTACTATTTTAGTGTACTTTGCTCTGATTTTAATCTGAGTTATCTTTATTTCTCTGGGTCCTTTTTTTTTTTTTTTAATTTGATGCTAATGATAATTTTCTCATAAATATTAATGTTTTGTTGAAGGAGATGTTGACCATTCATGATTATTCTTTTACTTATTTATTTGGTGTTTTTACATGTGTAGCAGCTGAAACATTAATATTTACATGTCTCACACATCTGAAATATTTAATTTACAAATCTCACCCTCCGTTAATGTTCGTTAATTAATATTGTTGTTTAGTGGAGCAGAAGAAAGAGAAAGATGTGAGCTTCTGATCAAGTCTTTGTACGTTGCAATCTCATCGTTATTGTAGGTTTGAGGTTTTTGTACGTCACGATCCTGATGCTTTGATAGGAGTGCAGAAGGAGGAGAAAGATGAGAGTTGGTGCTTCGAAACTCCAGCAGCATTACCGGAATCGAGCAGAGATAGGAGCAGGGTGGAAGGAGAAAAAATATGGAGTTTCGTAAATATGAATGTTTCAGATACTATGTATGTAAAAATCTCTTTTTTATTATAGCACTCTGCATGCAAACCTCAATATTCTCTAAAACATAAATGAAGAGATCACATTAAAAAAAAAATCACTGATGAACAGTTAAGATTGTTATTCAATGAAAAAAGAAATAAAAATAAGGGAGGAGTCAGACTGAGTCACCCATACTGCATGTTAGCAATTACTTCTTGTGCTTTCTCTCCTTAAAACGATTCACATTCCACATTGCTGTACAGTTTCGTTTTGGAGAAAGGCGTTTACTTTCAGAGATGCTTTAATTTCCATCATTATTTTAAAGTGGCCCTATTGCTCTGTAACAAAACTATGTGCATGTGTAAGTCCCCTCAAGTCACGGGTTCGATCTCCAGTGATGCTAGGTTCTCGAATATTTAGGTACATAATTCACTCTCATCATAGGGCCAAGTACATGAGAAATCGGTATTTGAGCCTCTGTCAAATACCGACTTACTTGCAATATATATATATCTATATATATACTTGTCTTTTGAGATGCATTATCCCTTAATTTTCAAGCTATGGGTGCGTGTTGAGTACTTCAGACGTAGGATTATTTGTCGCACCTAACTAATAAAAAAGAAAAAAAAAACGGATTCATGGAGTGCAAGCAATCCGAACAAAGGTGTATTAATAAAAGCTAGATCCGCCCAAAAATTATTTCATTTCTGTCGCATATGACTTAGTTATAAATTTCAAAGATTTTATATTTGTATTGAATTTTCTTTAGGGGTTGTTTGAATCGCATTCCTTTTGCAAGGATATAAAAATTCAAGCATTTGGCAGAAGAAGAATAAAAACAGTGTGAAAGTCTAACGTATGTGGAATGCAGTTGTTAGTGTATTTTAAATGTTTTTGGAATTTGTTGGATTTGGAGGAATGCTAAATACATTGCTTTGTATAAAGTGATGTCGTCGTCATAGGCTGACGCGCACCTCCTGCTTGTTGTCGTTGTTGTCTATCAGCTGTTGCTGTCATTCATTGCTCGTTTCCCGCCCGCTAGAAGCCAGCGTAACTGAATTCATTTTTTTTTCAAACTAAATAAGGAAATATAAAGCTCATTGCTCGTTTCCCGCCCGCTAGAAGCCAGCGTATCCACTACCAACAACTTATTTGCTCATCGCCACCTGTCTGCCAGCAACACTTCATCGCCTGCCTTTTGTTTACCATCGCCACCTCTGACCTTAACATATTTATTTTAACTGAATTCATTTTTTTTTTCAAACTAAATAAGGAAATATAAAGCCTTGCATTTATTTTAGAGCATTTTTTTTTCAGCAAATCAAACAACCCCAAACATGAAATTCAATATCATTTTATTCTTAATTTCAACAAAATTGTAGTTGGACCAAATGAACTCAATCACAATATTTATGATCCGATTTCTTGAAGCGATGTTGAAATTTTCATTACATTGGCTTGTGAATCAAGCTATTTTCAAATTATTCATGGTTGCAATAAAAAAGATTAGTTTGATAAGAGAGATTCAACCAGTTCAAGATCACTCCATTCTAGGATCATTAAGAAATTTAAATGCTAAAGAGAATTATGATAAAAAAATCAACATGTTTCATTTTCTAGAGTAATTTAAAATTTTAGCAAGATTTACCAAAATGTCATTCCATAATTTCATAAATAAGCTTTTACTTTTTATATGAAAAGAGTCTTAAAAGCTATTGACTAACAAAAAAAAGAAAAAAATAACACAGAGATTTGAAGAACTCGTAGTCTTTTTTATGTTTGTTGTTGTTGAATACCACAACATCTGTCATCACTTTATTTTCATCGTCTAATTCTCTTCACTCAAACCATTATTTTGCTACGATCGCCCTATTGTTATCACTCTTCAAAATTTTCTCAATATTTTCAGTCACATTCACAATTAAGTCAAACTTTTATTCTTTACTTTATTAAATTGCCTTCTCGAATTAAGGAGAAGATCAACGTTTATAATATCTATCAATTAATCTAGTAGATTATTTTAATTGTGCTAGGCCTCATAATTTTTATCCTTTTTTTTGTGTTTTTTCCATAAAAATTTTATTCTCTTATATGTTTCATGTATTTGAGTATATGTGAGATATTCATACAAACTTAGGATATTAAACTATTTAACTCTAATGTAATGAATAATTTAGTACTTAATCATTATTAAATACAATTATAAATGTCAATGATTTTGAATGAATACATTCATGATAATTATTATTTGTTTGTAGTGAGTTGCAAGATTTTTGCTAAAGACTAATTGATGGATTTTGATAATTTCTTTTTACTTTTAATGAAATGAATTCACAATCTATTAAAATATTGGGGTTCTTACAAACAAAACACCAGAAACATTATTATTTACGTATCTCTTATCCCAAAATTTTATATTGCAAAATCAACACTTTTGTTAATGCTTCCGTCTCTCCCTTTAGTTACCTCTTAGTTTCACACCAGTGTTGCTACGAGAGCAGGCCACAAGCAGACAAAAATTACATATCTCCAGAAAAACCATGCATCTCCAATAAGTCCTCCATTGATATTCTTCAACGGGGATGCTTCCAATCACAATATTGGTTTTGCCGGAGCTACAGAGAGGGTGGGAATTAGAGAGTATGTTCTGTGTGCATTCTATTATCATTCGGTGTCTGCGGGTAATTCAAAATTTTCATATTTTCCCTAATTTTCTTTCAGGTTATCATTTATGAAAATATTGAGATTTATTCTTAGATTATTTATTAGCCCATTGAGGCCTTATTGTTAAGCTATTTTTAAGCTATATGTGGCACGGTTCAATTAGAACTCATTTATGATCATTTAATTAACTTGTCAAAAAAGTTTAAATAATTTTATAAATAGTTAGTTTTTAAATAAATTATCTCAAACTACTTGTTCCTCAAGGCATTTATAATCACAAACAGTATCATTTAAAGTTGATGAATATGATCATTAAGAAGCTCAATTAAGATTTGATTAAGGTCATATGCTCATAAAGACATCTATCTAAGAAGCGACGTATGTACAAACTTGGGTCGATTAGACTTAGTTTGATAAGAAAAGGCTTATTTATTAAGCTTGTTCAATTATATTTTCATTTGCTAAGTTCAACAAGCTAGATCAATATGGCTTGTTTATTTTTTTCAAAAAACTGCTCATTTAAACTTCATTAATCACAATCTTAATAAGCTCAAATCAAGGTTAAATCATAATTAAATATGCTCTCAATAAACAATTTTGAGCATGAACACTAACACAAAAACTTGAATAAATCTCTAGTTGAGCTTGAAAATACTCATGGCCTCCCAAAATTGGGCCTTGGCCTCCCTCAAAGAATAAATGAGTTTTACATTGGATTTCTGTGTCAAATTCTCATAAGGTAGTTGAGACTATAGAAAAGGTGTTACTTAGAATTTTTTCCTCATTTTTTGAGGTTTTTAAGATTTCAAATTCAAGGTTTCTTATATGCACAAGCTTCTATAGTTAATTACCCCTCTTAATAACAATAAAATAGTTTTGATTATGGCTAATCATTAGATGTTAAGTATTTAGACTAAATATATAGTAGCAATAAATCTAAGTTTTAAGATTATGAAATTATCACAGTGAGCATAGAGTGGATGATGAGGAAAAAAATGACAAACATCATAATCCTATGGTCCTATCATCCAGAGTTATATAGTCCAGAGTCAACTTATTAAAGAGCTAGCCAACCAAACTTAATTGAAGCAGCAATATATTTACAACTCAAGTAGAAAAAAAAATTACATTAGAGAACATACAGGTCATCTTACTAAATTATCTATCAGAGGCCTCTAGCAATGGCTAATTCATTTGTGGAGCCTACATGCCAAATCACATAGACAGATTACTAGGGTCACTTACTAGCAAAGGTTAACTTGATTATGAATGTAATAATATTTTTGATATGATATTCACTCTTTATAATTAGGCTTTTGTCAATCATAAATTTGTCAACCTCACAAACAATTATGGAGCATTGATAATATTTTATGTAAGCATCTCGTGGTTGAGTCCTATTGATTTTTTATGGATTTAATAAGTTGTTTAAAAAACTTATTTATACAATTTGAAAGCATATTGAAAAAGATCATCCTCAATTAAGATTCATAATCCATACATCTACCATTGAGAATTTTGCTATTTGCATGAGTTGCAACCATAATTACAATTGAAATTTATAATTTGAATATTATGAAAACATCAGTCATATTAATTTTAGTCTTTATAATGAATATGATTAGACTGGCTTAATAAAAACTTGGTCTAATTAAGTTTGATCAGTGGTCACTGTGAGGAGGAAGAGGATCAAACTGACTAAGATGGGGCATACAATTGACTCTGCCTCTTTCCACATAGACAAGGCTACCTATTTGAAAGCGTGCATAAATTAATAATTTTTATACCAATTTTGGGCTTGTATAGCATTCTTAAATCATGTATTAAGACATTCAAAGCATTTGTTGGAACACTATGGGTTCTTCAAATCAATATATTGGACATTACAAGATCCTTGCATATTCTTCATAGCAACTTATAAAAATTTTAAGGTATAAACTTTAATAAAATATTGCCTCATAAGGAATAATTATGACTTAAAATATGCAAAATTGTCTAGGTACTCTAATGCATGCAAACTCTCACTTTTTAACTTTCCAAATATCTCCTTCTTTCCGCTAGTTTGGGTATTCTGAAATCAATGGCATATAAGCCATATAAATTGGGTATTAATTTGCATTTCTGAATTACATTCCGATCAAGATTCATAGGCTAAATGTCATTGCAAAATTTTGACTTTATTTAGGTAGTATAATTCGTCAATATACATATATCTTTATTCAAGTGAGCCTCACAATGCATCAAATTTTCACCATAAATAGAGCCTCCCTTATTTGCTTGGTACCATTTCATTTCTTTATGTCTAGAGTAGTGAGAATTTGATTGATGTAGAGAAAGATCACTAGCGTGCTAAGAAAATTTGGAAGTCATATGTAAGTTTTCCGTAGATGTGAAGACTCATACATGCATGCATGAGTCTTCACACCCGCATGAAAACACACGCAAGCAATATAATTTTCTTGTCGCGCTCATAAAAGTTCATATTTGTACTTTTTCAAGGTTTTGTTGTCATTATTATCCCCATATATTTTCATGAAAAAAAAAAACACAAACAAATTTGTTGAATTCCAACAAGTACATTGAGGTCTAAGTTCTCGATTTCACTACTGATTTGAGAAAAAGGTTAACAAACCATCATACATAAATTTTCGCACAATTGAGCATTTATTTTGCTTATAAAACCAACACAAATCACAAATAAAAAAAAAATATTGAAAAAAAAAGTCACACTTCAACCTATTAGTCCTATCTTTAGAAAAAAAATATTAGGTGTGACTTTCTGTATGTGCAAACACTCGTTAAGAATTGATAACATCACTCTATAACATTATAAAGACTGAGATGCTCGAATCTCAACAACTGTCCGCACATACAAACACCGTACCTAATATTTTCCCTGTTTTTATGGAAGTACAACCGACATAACCACTGCTATTCCAAACAAGATAATAGCTATTCCTGTGAAGTTTAGCACATAAGCTTCTCTTTCCTTTAAGAGATTCAGGAACCTAAATCTTTGTATTAAACCTGTCCCTGATGTGAAAACAGCTAGAATGAAGATCACCAGTCCGAAGAAGGCATGCCAAGGCTTCATGTCTGTCCTCATATTCTTCTGCGCCCCGGGAAACAGGAAGAAAGAGAAACCAAGGAAGAACTGCAGAAATCCATTAATACAACTTAGTTTATATTCCTCATGCAGAATTTACATACATATAAGGCTTCAAAATGGCTCCTTGTTTGCAAACAGTTTGTGCTCTGTTCGTTAAGTACCTTGTGTTTAATTTGTTCTCCAAATAAATAAATGAGTCAAACACAAAAAAAAGATTTGTTCGTTGGTGTTTGACTAGCTTTATGTCACCTCCCAAAAGAGCCCTTGTGGGTGGTGGATAGCTCAGGACTTAAATACTGTTTTTCGGCCCTACAACTACTCGATGTGGGACTATTTGTCCGTGACATTCTCCTCCACCCAATCACGTGACGCCCTTGTCACTGATCGGCTCCACCGAGGGTCCCACTGGATCATGGAGAGTCCACACACCGGATCGTGGAGAGTCCACACACCTGGTAGGCAGTAGTCTGCTCTGATACCACTTGTCACCTCCCAAAAGAGCCCTTGTGGGTAGTGGGCAGCCCAGGACTTAAATATTATTTTTCGGTCCTACACCTAGCCGATGTGGGACTATTTGTCCGTGACATTTAGCTCGAAATAAATAATTCGATACGTAGCACAATTCTTATATATTTTCAAATATATCACACACCCAAAGTTTCATATCATACTCAAATAAGACAACTAAGTCTTTAATATTACATCAAAAATAGTAGATTTATAACTTTTAAAAGTGAAATACACATTTTCATGCACCTAAGTTTAAAGCACCAAGTGTTATATGTGTATGTAAATTTGAAAATGTTAGTGTGATACATGTTAAAAGTGAAATACACATTTTCATGCATATATAAGTTTAAAGCATCAAAGTGCTATATATGTATGTAAATTTGAAAATGTTGGTGTGATAAATCTAAATATATAAATTGTGCGTTGCCTACGTAATTTTTCCTACATTGTTTATTGTAAAGATTTGAGTACCTGAATAACGTAGAGGCCCATTACTCCAATTCCAGTCCAAGAGTGCAGACTATGTAAATCTGCTGGCTCATTAACTTCACTGTAAAACTTAAAGATGGCATAGAGGCCGAGCACACCCAAAATGAGACCCGCCAGGTTGAGCAGCATGTGGATAAGCTTCCTCACCTTTCTTCTCCCAGGAATTGTCTTAAAGGCCATGATAGCTATTCCGGCAAAATAAATCAAATACAAATTTATAATTTAAGCAATTGTTTTAGTAAATTTCTTTTGCATGTCTTACCTTGTCCGGTGGATATAATAGGACCGAATAGCATCAGAACATGGTGTGCCTATCAAATGTAAATTAAAGTTAGTTTAGGGATGAGAATGAAATAAAATTTGTTATGTTAAAAATAAAAGAAAAACATTAGTGGAAATTTTACAATTTGATATTTAATATTCTAATATAATTGCTGTTATAGTAAAAACAAAAATGTCTTTTTTAGAACTTATCAATTGTTGGAAAAATTATTCCATACGGATCCGGACCGTAGATCACCTGATCTACGGTCTCGATGTATTTCGGTGGGTCCCACCGAATTATTTTTCTTTTTTTTTAAAAAAAAATGAAAATAATCCAGACCGTAGATCACCGTGATCTACGGTCAGGATCGGACACCGCATGCATCTCTGCATGCGGTGTCCGCACGCAATAATTCCTCCAATTGTCGCACTCTATGGATGCCTATATTTTTATTTTGGTAATTGAATTTTTTTTAATAGGATTCATCAAAATTTTCATATATCTCTCCAATAATAATGATATTAATAATTTTTATTTCCTAGTTTTAATTAATTTTATGTGTAATTAATATTGTGCATTTGTAAAAATGACTTCTCTATTTGTAATTAATTATTTTACTTGGTTTTTTATGGCTATTCAAATAATTGGCGACAACATTTGATTAAGGTACACATAGATACGTTAAATCAAAGATGAAAAAGGCCAAGATTAAAAAAACATTGATGTTAGAAACATTACTTGTTAAATGATACAAATAGAGTATTTCTTTTATAAGAAAACCATTGTCTGCCTTTAGAAGAGTTAAAGTCTTATGTTATAAGTTAATTAAATCGAGTGAGACTTTAGGGATAAGAAAGAAAAAAAAAATGTTTTTCATTTTTTGTGTTGGTGTTTTTAGGTGCATAACACCGGAAATATTATTATTTATGTATATCAAATCCCAAAGTTTAATATTACCAAATCCACACTTTCGTTAGCTCTTCGGTCTCTCACCTCTCTGTTTCACGCCCGTGGTGCTCTCAAAGCAACCCACACGATTGCAACTTTGGCCACCCGTCGGCCAACCCTTCCTCACGCAGCTCCGGCCGCACACGCAATCTGACATGCCTACACCATCGATGCACTCTATACCTCTTCTCACTCCCACGTCCATCTGACTCTCTCACCCAAGCCACTCTTGTCGCACCCACACCTGCCAGCCTCTCTTCCCAACAGTAAAATCCTATCCACACTCTAAGGGTCTGTTTGGCGCAGCTGTTGATTATTTATAATCTGCTGATAAGCAGATTATTCTGATAATGCAGATTATCAGAATAATGAGATTATCAGAATAATGTGTCTTGCTGTTTGGGGCAGCTTATTCAAGATAGCTTATTGGTGGTTAAATGACATTCATGCCCCTATCTGATAACGACCATAGTAACAGAAATTACTGTGAGAGGGTTGAATATGTCCTCGCGGGAAGGAAGGAGAAGGATATCGGGTAGGGCGAGAGTGTGAGGTCAAAAAAATATACCTCATATCTGAGGTCAAAAAAACATCCCCCAAATCGCGGATCACAGCCTCGTAAGCTTCGGGCGAGGCTGAGACAGAATTGGTGAGACGGGAAGGGCGAGGGCAAGGGGGAGAGACGAGAAGAGCAGCACGGGAAAAATAACCCTAAACGCGAGAAGCATACGCGGAACGGAGCTCTTGGCCAGATTAAGCTCCCTTAAGGGAATCGCAATAAGAGAACAGAGCGGGCACAAAACGTATCACGCGAACGTATTTTGCAAACGAAAGGGCGGCGTTTTGAAAACGCTGCCGCTCCCAATAAGCGCTCTCAAACGAGCTCATGCGGGTGTGAAATCGAAAACGTTAACATGAAAATCTGAATTTCATAATATTAAACTTTGAGGTGCAATATACATAAATACGTAAATAATGATGATTATGTGACTCTGTGTGTAAAAACTTCTTCTCTCAATCTAAGAATGTTATATTCCAATGTTATCAATGCAAAAACCATAATAATTGTGATGGACGGCAATATCAAACATTTATACTTCATATTGCTATACTATCGATGAATTAATAGCACCTTCAGAAGAAGAAAGATGAAATAATTGCTTGAAATAAAACCCATACATTAAGCAGCCGTTGGAGGTTTTTCGCTTTCAGCGAAACACCTCCTCGGAAGTGCAGGATCCAGACAAGCATAAGGGTTATTGCCGCCGCGGCGAAGATCTGCGCCAGCACTAATGCCGGAGTTGCAGACATTTGAAATCTCCCTCCACCTCTGTTTCTCGCCATGGCTTCGCCTCACGAAGCACCTCAAAGCGACAGTAAAAGAAAGAGAGAGAGCTAATGGTCTGCAGCGTTTCAATGCATTTCAGACTGCTGAAATATATAGACTCTAGAAGGAGAAGGACACAGTCTCTTTGTGTTGAAAATGTGGAAAAATGTTGACCGTGTAATGTGTGAATCAGATGTGAATTGGTGGTATTATCGTAATATTAGAGTAGTATTGGTTTTATTGCGGTAGTATTGAGTTGCAATGCCACTCTAATGTCATATTCCGCATGTATGTCTGGTGCACGCAATATCGTTTTGTGTGTGCTTATTTCATCTCAATAAGCAACAAAATGGATACGATCACTAAATTTTGATATGGTCGTTTAAATTTGATACGATCGATATTTAAAACTTTTAATTAAATTTTGAGATTAATGATATATAAAACTAATTGATTGTTTGTATTTTTCATTATCCCGAAGTAAACTTTAAAATTTTATAATCTTAAAATTCAATCTTAATACTAATCGGTCAGACTAGATGTTTTGACCCAATTTCTCTCTACCTCCGCTTTCCAATTGTCGTTTCGTCAAGCTTCGCTATTTGTCTTCGCTATTTTGTCCATGGCTTGTGAAGGGATTACAGATAATTTAAATTTATTTTACAAAATAATTGCATATTGAATTTTTTTTTTCAATTAAAATTATATTTTACAAAATAATTGCATATTGAATTTTTTTTTCAATTAAAATAAAAAAAAAATTAGAAAATTTTATTTAATCAGTATTTTTTGTTCACGTCTTTTGAAAATATATATAAACTGAATTTTTCAGTTAAAATTTTTAGCCAAAAATATTCATGATTTTTTTTTTTTCATAACTCATTTCCACTCTTTCAAATTTCAATTCCTACAAACACAACAAGGCTGGTGAAGTCTTTGATGACCAATTAATTGTTGTTGCAAGCTTGTGAGAGATATCTTCGATGACCAAATTGCTGATGTTGTTGCCAGGGGTGTAACAAATATTATTGTTTTGGGCAGGCAGAATGGTCAAATATCTAATTTATATTTAACTACTGTGGGCAAAATTACTAAATTGTTTAAACTAAATAAAGAAAAATGTTAAATTTTTCTATTTACATAGACAAAATGCAAATTCTATTGGGGGCAATTGTCACCTTGGATGTAGTCTGGTTCCACACTTGCTTGTTGCAAGCTTGCAGTTTCACACATTAAATATTTCACAAGAAAGAAATTTACATACATATCACATACTTTTTATGCATTTACTCATTAACATCTCAATTTAAGTGATTATCTATATAATCTTAAATTTTTTAGTAGTGGGTTAAAAGTATCAATAATACTATTCTAGGTTAGAAGAGCGGCAGAGCTAGAATAATAATTTAATGTTTCATTATTGTACAAAATCTAGCACAACACACACGCGTATAATTAAGAAGAAGTAGGAGAAAACACTATGTTTTTTTACGTGGAAAAAAAATTCCAATAAAAATATGTTATTACAAAGATACAGTGAAGAGCGGCAAAGGTAGAACAATAATTTAATGTCTCATTGTTGTACAAAATATAGCACAACACACACGTATGATTAAAAAGAAGTAGGAGAAAACACCATGATTTTTTTACGTGGAAAAAGTATTCCAATAAAAATATGTTATTACAAAGATACACTTTTATCCCGTAATTGAGAATGAAGGGTTACAACGCTACACCAACTATAATGTTTGCCCGTGCATAATGTACAAAACACTTGAGGATTCTGAAGAGAGTCATAACATTTTAAGCATGGAAGTTGAAAGTTTCCGTCAGGGGAAGTTATCGATGGATCTTCAATATGGCGTAATTCACTACTTTGCATGCATGATACTTCATAGCACTATATTATAAATGTATTCGTCAATGAAAATATCCAGGGATGTGTTGTTGTACAATAGAGTTCATCGATAGTGGCAAGCAAGGGGCAACCAACGGTGTTTGACAGTAGCCTGCGGGTGGTAGTGGATTGTGGTCGGTGGTTATAAGGGTCGTAAGTTATCATCGTCAGTTCATGACAAGACTAAAATTTCATTCATTCTTTTTTCATCCCTCAAGTAAAGAAATGGGGTATATTTATGGGCTCCAAGAGGGGATATTTTGTTCATTCAACAAATAACTTCCATAACCGCTCGATCAAACAACTAACGTGGATTCCTCTAAATCACAAAGGATTTTTTTTATGATATGAGAGCCTTATTAACCTCAAAATCGAGTGTTGATAGTTTGTTGGATTCCTCTTATGGAGACACCTAATTTGACTATAGGCAAGTCAAATTTGAAGCACATTTAACCCTCCAATTAACCACCCAAATCCTCCAAATATGGTTCAATGACATGATCTGGGCTTGATCAAACTTTGATTGGAGCAATTTTGGAATCATTGGGTTCGTTCCATCGAGATGGTCAGTTCGACATTTGCACGTGCCTCGTTACTCTGCAATGTATGTCGCTGCTCCATAAGGGGCTTCATTGCAACGAGCAGAGGTTGGCCAATGGTGGTCGAGGTCGTCTGAAAAGCGGTGTTTGATGTTGATTGACAGTTGTAGCAGCGAGTTGCTTTCGATGGACCGTCGATGTAGAGCATTGGACCTCAATTACTTTCCTCCAAGCTCCGAGCTTTTTCATGTTTAAGGTCTAGGTCTCCTTTCATGAAGAGGGTGGGACTCTATTTATAGAGTCTTGGGAGGGCCGTGCTGCAAAAAAAGAAAAAAAATCTAAATCACTCCATCGGACGACCCGAAGAGATTTTTTCGATAAGACACTATTTGTGTGCATTTAAATGCCTTAATAATGTTGAGATCGAATGATCTTGAACTCGTTGGATTCGTCTCATTGAGATGCTCGATTAGACTATAAACTAATCAAATTTGGAATCTATTTGACCTTCCAATTACACACTCGAAGCTTTTAAAAATAGTTTACAACCTCAATCCCGGCTTGATAAAACTTGGATTGGACCAGCTTTGTCTTGTGACCCGATCAGCTTGCAAAAATCAAAACTCGATATGATTTTTAATTGAAATTTGAATATTTCTTGTTTAAAAATATTTTAAGATCGGCGTTGATCACTCGAAATTCGTGTAGAATAACAAATTTATTGACGAGGTATTATGTATATGTACATATGTATACTCGCTCGTCATGGCCGTCCAGCTGGTCCCGGTGTCTTTTAACCTGGAAAAAGTTGGCTCGCTTAGTGTCTTACCTGTTAACTTACTGTAGAGACTATTAATATACAAAATAAATTTTCTTTCATTTGTCCCACCCCGAATCGGTGATAGTTTATGGAGTTCTACGACTTGCCCCTTTTTCCCGTTGAAGATTCTTGTTCCTTTATAATTAAAAATTCACTCTTTAAATTGAAATAGTTAATTATAATCTAATATTAAGTGCATTTTAATTTAACGATAACTTTAATAATAGTTTTACATTTTCTTGCGAAAGTGAAAGGTATAAACTTAAATATTTTTTGCCTCTTAATTTTTTTTATTTTTTATTTCATCACGCGTGTATCCTTAAACTTTGGTTCACCACTAGCGATATGCCACCAATAAATTTTCTTCATCCAACACAGAGCTTGAGGCATAAGTCTCGATGTAATTTTTTGAGTAAGAAATATTCAAACTTTAATTAGGAATCATCTAGAGCTTTGATTTAAGCAAATTTATACTCAAACTTACCAATTCAATGAGGCGGATCCAATGATATCAAAATTAGTCTAATCAAGCTTAGATCAAGTCATTAAACCATTATTAAAAGATTTTTAGACACATTTAGAAGGTCAAACTGATGTTGGTTCTGGCGATTCACAGTTGAATCGAACGTCTCAGCAAGACGAATCCATCGAGACCAAGAGCACTCAATTCCGACATGATTAAGGCAACAAAGAAAACACTACGGACAGTCGATTAAAGTGATTCATATTCGTGCATTAATTGCACCCAAAACATTATAAAAAGAGTCACATCCCTCGTGAGAGAGGGGGTTGCTTGAGCCTTAAGAGAGAACTTGAGGTTTTGAGACGGAGCTGAAATCTAGCAACATCCATGTCATCGTCAATCACCGCCGGCCACTGTCGACCACCAACGACCGCCCCTCTGTCGATCCTCATCCT